CGTGAGAAGGGCAATCTGGTAGGGGTGACCGCCAGTCTCCTCTTGTGCTGAGCCGCAGCAGCCTTATCGACACAGTCTACACAAGCAGAGCCCACTTCTCTTTTATCTTTAAGCGTTGTATTTCAAAGCTTTTAAAATCACCGGGCAGGAACACCTCTACACTCACATTTTTCTTAATACACTCACGCCCCCAGTCGTGAGAACTGAGCTACGTTTGCTGAATGTATGTCTACACACACAGGTAATCTTCCGTCATGGAAACTTTGTTCAAGGATTATTTTACAAATTAAGATCTAGAGGCCTAATCTCAGAAGTAAATTAGACTTTTAGATGCTAGTTTGACTGCAGTGCTAATGTGTACTGCACCAGGCTGGTTCACACAGAGACTGTTTTTACCACATGAGAGTATTATCTATATATATACACGCATTCACAATTATTTATATCACTCGCTGTTCCCTTACTGCATTTCTTCTTGACTTGAGTCCAAAGAAAATTGAGTGATTTTTTAAAGTACTGTTGAGATGTACTTTTTCACTGTGCAACACAGTGACATTTTCTTAAAGATTTTGTTATTGTTCCAGTTTGATACAAGCTACAAGTCCAGTTCAAATGACATTTGAGCTACCAAAACCAAATTAATTAACTTTTTAATTATTACAGCCTATTTCAACAAAGAAAATAAGTCTCTCATTGTTTTCTCTCCTGTATGATCCAGATTTCTCCAGTTATTACCAGAGAATACAGCTCCAATTATTACTGTACTGACTCAGCTCTGGCTTTGTTTGCTTTAAAACTATCTGAATCAGATTTCTTATGGGACAGAAAAACACCTAGCTGAAAAGTTCATCAACTGTTTGAGCAATGATTCTATCATTTGTATATCACACTTCCGTATTTAGTTGTTTTGCTTAACAGTTCCTGCTTCTTTACTCGCACATGGAGTTCTGTTAGAAAGACTGCAGCATTACTGCTCAGATCAGTTTGTAACAAAACAATCAAGATCCAATTCTGGCCTTCCTTAAAGTAATACATTAAAGGTACCAGACAAATGTCCTGCCGACATGGAATAAACAGGTATTTACACTAAAGTGTACATGCCATTTCAAGATTTTTTACCATAAAATTCTAGCTATAATGGCTCAGGGATCATAGGAATGATTATGGATTCCAAACCAGTTTTCAACTTTAGTCAAATACAAATTAAAACTCCACTAGCAGCACAGAAGTAGTGCAGGCAAGCAGTTAAGTTCGTACAAGCTAGCTTCCAAGAATTATTGCATTAAAAGATCTACAAAGCAGCTCACGATTAAGTTCTATTTGTAGTTTTAATTAAATATTTGAAGTTAAGTCCCAATCAGCAAATCCTTAAACTACCCTAGCATGAAAGTATTAAACCTCTTCTAGATCAGAGGAAATCCACCTAGATCTACCTTCATACATGTGAGGTGAAAATGTGAATACTTAGGCCTTGTTCTAGAATAGTTTTTTACTACTTTTCTTTTTTTGTGTTTTCACTTAGCTTCACATTTGATGTTCAGTGAAGTATCAGAACATACAAAAGTGTTAGATACAGTCTGCACTGCAGACTGAAGTGATGTTCTGGAAATGTAGCCTTTTTGTTCCAGTGCATAAAACTTTCATGTGTTAAAAAAAAAAAAAGCAATGTAGTCTTCTAACTAGCTTTTCGTATTGCTCTCTCCCAAGAGTTCCCAGTAATTTGGAAAGCAGTCAACTTCTTCTGGTATCATTTAAAAAATGAGATTTGAAGAACTCTGATTACAAACTACATATTCATAAGCGCAGTTGCTTTAATATATACATGGAAGAGAACCACGCAGAACTAGGCAAATGTTATCTTTGAAACTAAACAAAAGTGAAGATGTATGCCTTCTGAAACATCTATTGATGTATACAAGTGCAAGCAGAAAACTAATTAAGGAAAACTATACAATAACAGGGACTAAAACTTAAGTAAATATCATAAGGGTTCTAAATTCTTCTTAACACATAATGTCATTTCCTTTTTATTGCAATGTATTATATACAGGAAGACAGTAAAGAGGAAACTTCCTAAAAAGGAGCAAAGCCAGAGAATGAGGCACCTGGGCTGTCAACTGCATGATCAAAAATTAGATTTTTCTCCAAACCAGATCTTCTCAGACAGCAAAAGGAAGGTAAAGTACTCCCATCTATTCAAGCTCTAGTTGGGCAGTTTGGTACACTAGTAATGACAGTGGCAAATGCAAACAGAAGTCATGTAACATTTAAAAAAAACCAAACACACCCCAAAAACCATCACAAAAGTAAATCTGAGGGGATTGATTGGACATTAGACCTTCAAAGAGAAAAGATATCTAGTATCAAATGGTAGCTCTGACTATTATGAACTAGACAGAAATTGGTTGAGATGGGTAATTGTCTTAATTCAGCAGAGTACTTTGCTGTTCTAAAAAACTACTTTGTATCCTATATGCAGGGCACATTTCCAAGATGGCACCAGAAAAAAACAGAGCATACAATACTATATCCACGGTAAAACTGTATTCTCGTAGTGTAGATTACCGCACCACATAAATATTCTTGGAGGTACTATCACCAGAGTCAATGCTAACTATAATTGTGCTGGTTTAGTCCTGCTGTTCAAGTTCTTTATACTTTTTCTCCTTCCAAGTTAAAAATACTTTTTTAATAACTAAAACAACCCCCCCAAAGATTCACTTGTTTCAAATTTTCCTTCTAAATATGTAATAATACATACATGTTGAAGTAGAAAATGTCTGATCTGTAATGCGCAATACTTCAATTGCTACCAACTAATTGCACTTTATTACAGCATCTTACATTTCCACTTACAGTTTAGCTTTTTTGTAGGTGAATGAAGCAGAGTTCCTGGATTTGTCAGCTACTTGGGAAAAAATGTCAGGTTTCTAAAACAGCCATCAAGCACTTTAAAGTGCCAGGAGCACTTTAACTAGAAAGCGCGGGAGTGTCTGTTAAAAAATAGAGGAGTAAGATGAAAATTTTAGGCTTCAGCCAATTTACTGCAAAATAGAAAAATCTCTACTGCTATTTTAACCTCTTACTGAGCACCATTTAATCATATAGATGATTTGCTGGGAGTGCATGGAGAATAAATTGCTTAGACTGAAATGGCAAAACTTAATCTTGAAGAATCTTTAAAAGCTCTCTCTGCTCAACCTTGCATAATTCTGTATCTTCTACTCTATGCAGAAATTACCTCCTGATTTATGGAGAATTTTCCATTTGTTTTCATTCTGCTGGAATTCTGGAAAAAACTCATCTGCTGTGTGAACTCTAAACCTGCAGCACATAGGCTAAACTGTCCTTGCTCACTTCTGCTTTCTGCTCTCGTGCCGTTATCTTATCCTTATGTCTTGGGCCGTTGCTTCTTTCCACAGCACAGGTGCAGGGACATTTTGCTGGGACGTCGAGCTATGTTTAGTTACTCTACAATGACGCGTGAGGTGCTGGTTTTCTCTTTTTAACAGGAAGACAAACGCTTCTTCCGTAACACTTCAAGCCTACCAGTTCCTCCAGACTTTTCATCGTTAAGGCATAATCACCAGTAGTTCTCCACTATGGTACCTCCTCAGCACCTCCCCATCCCTTTTTTCTCGCTGGTGCTAGTTCTGCCTTTTCGGTCTGAAAGGCAAAGACCGTGTTTTCCAACATCCGTGACACTTCAAAACACCCCCCACAAAAGCAGCTGGCTTAGGACTCCTTTTCCGCTGGCGGCCCTGTTACAGCTTTTCCGCTCCACCGCGGCTGACAGAGCTGTCCTCCCCCGCCGTTACGCGACGCGGCAGGCAGCTGAGGGGAATTCTCCAGGCCTAACGGTCCGCGGCAACAGCGGCGGCTCCGCTGCCCACCACAGGTAGGCGGACAGGCCTTCAGCCCGAGCGCGATTCCTCAGCTACCCCTCCCAGGCAGGGCGGGCCTGGGGCTATG